GCCCCCCCGGCGCGCGCGGAGCCCGGGGCTCGGCGGGGCCGTGCCGGGAGCGCGGCCAGTTCGGGACCCGCGGCCGCGGCCGCTCCGTCCGTCCCTCCGTCCTTCTGTCTGTCCGGCCGGCTGTCCCGCACCCACAGCCCCAGCCCGCCTGCCCCTGCCCCGCCAGCCCCCTCTGCGTCCGTCCCCGTGTCCGTCCCTCTGTTCCCTTGCCTGACCCTCCAGCCCCCTGACGGTCCGTCCGTCCTTCCTTCCCTTCGCCTGCCCCTGCGTTCCCTTGTCTGTCCTTCTTCCTGCCCCTCCGTCCCCGTGTCCGCCCGCCCCGGCCTCCCCGCCGCCCATGGAGCTGCTGTGCGTGGAGTCGGCGTCCCGCGTGCCCCGCGCGGGGCCCGACCCGCAGCTCCTGGGGGACCGGCGGGTGCTGCGGAACCTGCTGAGCCTGGAGGAGCGCTACAGCCCCCGCGTGTCCTACTTCCAGTGCGTGCAGCGGGACATCCAGCCCTACATGCGGAGGATGTTGGCCGTCTGGATGCTGGAGGTACGGTCCGTGCCCCTGCGCGGACACGGGCGCTGCTCCCGCCCCGGCGAGGGGAGCGCAGGGCAGGACCCCCCCGCCTCGCCCGCGTGTGCTGGGGGTGTCAGGGGTGCAGGGGACAGGGCAGGGGACGCGCCAGCCCGGAGGTGTGCGCTCAGGGGAGGGGGTGATGCCGGTGGGGGCTGCACGTGGAGGGTCCTTTGCGGGCTCTTCGCTCCGTGAGCTCCGGCTGGGCTGAAGCGTGTTCGGTCCGTGCGGGAGGAGCGGGGCACACCTCCCCCCCTGAGCCACAGCTCATCCCACCCCTGTGGGGAGAGACCCCCAGAAGCTCCGGGCAGGGCTGGGCTCGGGGCTGCGAGTGCCCGGTTAGAGGGGGAAATAATAACGCTACTATTTACTTCCCCAAATTAAAACGGAGCGTGGCTCGCTGCAGGATGGAGTTTGGGGCAAGGGAGGGGGGATCCCTCGGGGCTCTGCATGAGGTGGTCGCAGTGAAGAGTCTCGGTAAAGAGCGATTTGCAGAGCACCGATGAGGTCGGGATGGAGCTTCCCCGTCCTCCAGCCCGGCGGCTGCTGCAGGGAAGCTCCTTCAAAAAGAAATAATGAACATTTGCTTTTTAAAGGGCTTCCCCCCCACACCCCTTCCCTGTTACTCTCTATGCAATTCCCTTTCCGAGAAGGGTATTAAATAACTGGTGCCTCGGGTGCTTCGAGACCTGTCCCTGTGAAGCCCTGAAGGGGTGACAAGTGGGTGACAAGTGGCAGTTGTCACACCCGTGTCGGTGTCGCCGGCGCTGGGGCAGATGGGGCTGGGAGGAGGATGGTGTTTGCTGCAGAACGGGGAGAAACCGCAATATTTTTATGGTCGTGTTGAAAGAAGGAAGTTAAATATGACAAGTGTTTTGATACTGTTGGGAGATAAGGGCAGAGGGCTGAAATTTGGAGCTGCTGGATTCTGTGGCTGAGGGAGGAGGACTTTTGGACCCAGCATTGATTCCAGTGCTGCCACTGACTCTTCTTGTGTCTCTGGAGCACTCGAGGTGGAATTGCCAGCAGCGGATCCCGCTCTGTTAAGTCTCCAGCTGGAGATCTGCTGGAACTGCTCACTTTCTCCAGAGATCCGCAGTCCCCACAGGGCAGGAGGTGGCAGCTTTGCTGTCCAGCTGGCTGGAGGCATCTCCAGCAGGGGAGATCAGAAACGGGGCCAAATCAATTCAGTTCTGTCTCATTTGTGCCTCTCCTTCTAGCTGCACCTAAATTCTGCTGCTTTCCCCAGGAAGATGAAGCCTTGAGGCCCTGGGGAAGCTCCTTGCTGGTGCAACCCCAGGGGTGTCATCAGGGTTCACACCGGGAGCTCTTTCACCCCGGAGCCTCCAGAGCCCTGACAAGTGTGAAACACCAGAGGCTTTGAAGCTGCTGTGCAGGCAGAGGCTGGGGAGCCCTGCCTTTACTTTGTGTCTCTGCCGCTGGGTTTTGCCAGGTGTGTGAGGAGCAGAAGTGTGAGGAAGAGGTTTTCCCCCTGGCCATGAATTACGTGGATCGGTTCCTGTCGTCGGTGCCCGTGCAGAAGAACCACCTGCAGCTCCTGGGGGCTGTGTGCATGCTGCTGGCCTCCAAACTGAGAGAAACCATGCCCCTGACCGTGGAGAAACTCTGCATTTACACAGACAACTCCATCACACCTCAGCAGCTCCTGGTAACCACCCTCTACCTCCTCCCCAGCTCTGCTGCATCCTGCTGCCTGCCATCACTCCTACCTGTGTCCCTTCCCTCACCTCCCTCTGCATTCCAGCCTTCTCTCCCCCTTGCCTTGCAGGGTGTAGTGCCTGTTGGTGGAGACCTCCCCACCTTCCCTGTTGCAGGGAGCAGAATTGTCCCCTCCAGGTCGTAGAGGAAGTTCCTTGTGCCTGCAGTGCTCGTTTCCAGCCCCGGGCTGTCACCCTGCACACTCAGGCAGAAGTTCAGTTCTGAGGCTTTGAAAGGCAAAGAGTTTTGGTGTCTGATAAAAGATCAGGGATCCAAACCTCTGAGTTCAACTTCACCGGTGCAGGAGGAAACTGGAGAGCCCCTTTTGTTGGGGCCTTCCCTGCTGGGGGCTCAGGGCCCCAGGGGATGAAACAGTCACCTGGGGCAAGAACCAGCCCTGGGACTGTTTGCCCTCGAGAATGTCCCAGGGTTACTCATCACCTTACTACGTATCTCTGTTTTTTTGGGGGGGCTGGGTGGGGTGATTTGAGTGTGACTTGTCCCCAAGGTGGGGAGTGAACCCACAAAACTTTCAGGTGTGAACTGAGGGCAGTTCTGGTAACTGGGGAGCTCTGGCATGAACGTGGTTTTTCCAGGTGGCAGCGAAAGGGCCAGGGAAAATCCCCTCACCTCCATGACCCTGCAGTTGTTTGTGGGTGGTGATTGCCTCAACTGGCACTCACGGGTGGGTGATTAATCGTGGGGAGGGGTGGGAATGCACAGAGGAAACAGCGGCGCTTGTGGCTCCCCTGGATGCTCAGTCCTGTCCCTGAGACCAGGAGGGAGTCCCAGCCAGCCCTGGTGACTCCTGCAGCCCAGACCTCGGGCTGCAGGGCTGTGTTCTGGGTGGACACCTTGTGCATGCATCCTGGGGGTCCCAGTCATCTTTCATTCTGATTTATTTGGTGAATTCATGGGCAGGATTTGCTGTTTCCAGATGAGTTTTGAGCCCTGTTTGCAGCTGGCTCCTCCCAAAGGAGGGTGGAAAGGTGCAGGTGGGGAGTGGGCAGAGCACATGCAGCATCCCTGGAGACTTTCCTTTGCTCTCAGACTCCAATGTGAATTCCTCCTTGCTCAGAGTCTTTCTTATTTCTTCCCCCTGAGGTTTGTCAGCAGGAAGCTGTGGCCAGGCAGTGCCACAATGTTCATCTTCCCTTCTCCCTCCTCCTGGGGTGGAGCTGGAGGAGGAAAGCGCTGTCTGATGCCCGTTTTTCACTGCTGATCCTTCAGGTCTCAGTCCTGGGGTTCTCCTTCCCTGTGTTTTCCCCCCTCCCAGGATCCTGGGTTGCTCTCAGGAGGCACAGATGGCTGGCTGGCACGGATCTCTTGGATCTCTGTGCTCCAGGAGCAATCTGGACTTGAGGTGGATGAAAATGGCTTCATTTTGAGGATCAAAAGTCCTTTTTTGGGCTGGCCACAGGTAGCTTTTCCAGGCAGATGGGATCCCTTTCCCACTCAGCAGTGCAGGGCTTTATTCCTGGTCATCAGAGGGCTGAGCAGAAGCATCAGGAGCCAGCCTGGCCCTTCCAGAGGGGACCTGAGGCACTGGCAGATCTCTGGGCAGGAGCTGCTCCACAGTCCATCATCTGGTGGTCAACTTCCCTGCCCACCACAAGGCTGGATTTCCAGGGATTTTAACCCTTTTAGGAGCACATCCCACTCTGCTCTCCCATTGTTCTCACTGCAGACAGGGAGGGGAGGGAACATCTGAGGGCCTGAGGAGGGTTTGGGCTCTGGGACCCGCTGGAGTCAGTGCTGGGTTACGACACCCAGGGGCTGCTGTTCCCCCTCTGTGCCGAGCAGGGGATGCTGCTGCTCTTTCACAATCTGGCAGGGTGGGGAGGGGAAGGGGAGCTTCTTCATCAAGGTTTGGACAGTGGTGCATCCTGGCCTCTTCCCACGGACCGGTGCCGTCCCAGATTCCAGGGGAGCTGGTTCACATTCCCAACAGGTTTGCTTCCTTCTCCTGCCAGGATGCTTGGCCCCAGCTCAGCAGCTTGGAAAGGACACCCTTGAAACACACTCTTGATGAGGTTATTCTAGGGAGAAGGAAATGATGCAACGAGGGACTTGTCCATTTGGAGGAAGTTGGATTTCCGTCAGGGGCGTTATCTAACCTACCTTTCCTTTTTTTCTTTTTTCTTTCCCCCTTTTTTTCCTCTTTTAATGAACACTTTTCTGGCCTGTGCAAGGGGGTGTTCAGCTACTTGGGCAGAGTTCTAAGTCACCTCCATCTGCCTGGTTTGCTCCTAATACATTGGCTTGTCTTGGAAATATTCAGCCTAAAGGTCAGTTTTGCCAACAGCCAGGAATTCCCTGGCAAAGCCTGCAGAGGGTGGAGCCTCCAGGTAGATGATGAAGGGAGCAGCAGTGGCCCTGAGTGCCATGAAGAGTGAAAATAAGAGCTGGCTAGAGAGGGATGTGGTTTTCCAGAAGACACTGTGAGGTTTCCCTGCTTTCCCTTCTGCTTGTGGGACAGACATGACCGTTTGTCCCTCTGGAGCTGGTACCTTTGCCTTGACATCCACACTGGAACGTGCCCATGGAAGCAGATGTTTGCCCCTGTTTCCCATTTGCCAATGGCCTTTGGAAGCTGCTCATTTCTGGAGCTGCTGGTGGGGTGGGTGACTGGCTGCTCTCTGCACCCTCCCCGTGAGTCACCTCGGGAGCACCGAGTGTGTCACCGGCTCTGTGACAGTGTCAGATGGTCCCTTCTCAACTGCAGGGACAACCCAGCACAGCTCCCTTCCCTCCTGCAGCCAGGGCTGCTGCACAGGGGGGTGGGCTCTGCTCCCAGATGGATTTCCAGACTCCTGCAGGCACAGCGGGTGTGTGGGTGTTGTGAGGGCAGAGCTTGATGTGCAGTGTGGCTGTCACTGCGTGGCAGGGGGAGCTGCTGGGACTGGCACATCCCAGATGGGGTTTGCAGAGCTGGAAATGGAGTCCAACAGTCCCTGCCTGTGCCTTGGGGCTGCCTGAGGGTGCAGTTTGACTGCAGGACTGTGCTCACCTGCTCAGAGCAGGGCAGGCAACGGGAATTCTGCTGTCCTGCCTTCTTTCTTGTTCTCCTGTTTTGGGATGCAGCCAGAAGGGATCAGACTTGCAGAGGGGTAGCTCTGGTGTGTGGTTTCTACCCTCTGAGTTGCTGGCCAGGCACGGAGAGCTCTTCCCTGGGGGTCTTGCAGAAGGGGATCTGGTGCATTCCCAGTGCTGGGATGCTCCAGGGGCAGTGCTGGGATGCTCCAGGGGCAGTGCTGGGATGCTCCAGGGGCAGTGCTG